GGGGGCCCCCCCCTGGGGGCCCCCCTGCTGGGGGGCCCCCCCCTGGGGGGCCCCCCCCTTGGGGGCCCCCCCCTGGGGGCCCCTGAAAGGGGGGGCCCCCCCCTGGGGGCCCCTGAAAGGGGGGGCCCCCCCCTGGGGGCCCCTGAAAAGGGGGGCCCCCAGAACCCCGTTTTTTTTGGTTCAGATGTGGTTGCTGCTGCTGCATGCAGCAGCAAACCGAGAGAAAGTGAAGCAGCAGCAGCAGCAGCAGCAGCAGCAGGAGCAGCAGCAGCAGCATCACCACCAGCAGCAGCAGCAGTACCAGCAACAGCAGCAGCAGCAACAGCAGCAGCAGCAGGAGGAGCAGCAGCAGGAGTATGTGTGTCTTCTGCATGCGAGACATCATCTGCTGCAGCAGCAACAGCAGCAACAGCAGCAACAGCAGCAGCAACAGCAGCAACAGCAGCATTTTTTTGTGTTGATTTTGTTTCTCTTTCTGCTGCTTTTAATCGTTTTCGTTTTGACCCCAGACTAGCAATGGCACTAAGACTCCCTGCTGCTGCTGCTGCTGCTGCTGCTGCAGCACAGCAGCAACAGCAGCAGCAGCAGCAGCAGCAGCAGCAGCAGCAGCAGCAGCAGCAGCAGGAGAAAGTACAACAACCCCACCTTTTTCTTCCTCCTCCTCCTCCCCCCCTCAACCTACAAAAACTTTCTTCTTCGGTAGACAGCATACTAGCAGCCCACGAACAACAAGCCCTGCAAGTAGGGTTTAGGGTTTAGGGTTTAGGGTTTAGGGTTTAGGGTTTAGGGTTTTGAGGGTTTGAGGGTTTTGAGGGTTTTTAGGGTTCAGGGTTTAGGGTTTTTAGGGTTTTTAGGGTTTAGGGTTTTTAGGGTGTTTAGGGTTTTTATGTTTTAGGGTTTAGGGTTTTTAGGGTTTAGGGTTTAGGGGCAAACAACTCGTCTCTTAGGAGTTTTGAGGGTTTAGGGTTTAGGGTTTAGGGTTTAGGGTTTAGGGTTTATCTGTATGCATAACTGTGTGGTTTTTATTGAGGGTTTAGGGTTTAGGGTTTCTTTACAACCCATACACTTCAACCTTCAGCCTTCAGGGTTTAGGGTTTAGGGTTTAGGGTTTAGGGTTTAGGGTTTAGGGTTTAGGGTTTAGGGTTTATGTGTGTAGGTGTATGCGGACTGTTGCCCATCGATGGTTTCTCTGGATGCTGCAGTTTGTGCTGCTGAGGGTTTGGTGAGAGAGACAGAGAAAACCCTTGAGGGTTTAGGGTTTAGCCTTTCGGGTGCAGCAGCAGAAACATCAATGGTTTATAAAAAAACAAATAAACTAAAAACAAAAGCAACAAACAGAAAAGAAATCTGTCTCCTTCTCTCTACATATTTAAAACAAATCACCATCACCAGAGAGCTTGCTGCTGCTATCTGCTGCAGTGACCTGCAGCAGCAGCAGCAGCAGCAGCAGCAGCAACAGCAGCAGCAGCAGCAGCAGCAGCAGCAGCAGCA